CAAAAATATTTATAGCAGCTCATTTTTGTGGTGGCCAAGAATTGGAAATTGAGGGGATGCGCATCAGTTGCGGAATGGCTGAACAAGTTGTGGTATATGAATGTAATGGAATACTGTTGTGCTATAAGAAATGATGAGCAGGTGGACTTCGGAAGAACCTGGAAAGACTTGTATAGACTGATGCTGAGTGAAATGAGCAGACCAGGAGAACATTGTACACAGTAACAGCAACATGGTGTGATGACTGACTTTGATAGACTTAGCTCATCTCAGAAATCCAAGAATCTAAAGGCAATTCCAAAAGACTCATGGAAAATGCTATCCCCATCCAGAGAAAGTACTATGTAATCTGAATGCAGGTCTAAGAATACTATTTTTTGTCTCTCTCTCTTATTTCTTTCTTATAGTTTTTCCCTTTGGTTTTAATTCTTCTTTACAACATGACTAATGTGGAAATATGTTTAATATGATTGTGCATGTATAGCCTATATCAGATTGCATGCTATCTTGGGGACGTAGGAGTGGAGGGAAGGGGAAAAATTTAGAACTCAAAATCTTATAGAAGTGAATGTTGTAAACTAAAAACAAATAAATAAATAACATTAAAAAAAGTAAAAAGATGTTCCCATGTTTATTTATCAATTAAATAGGTTATTCTTATGTTCAATTTTGTTAATCTCTTTAATTTTTAACATTTCCATTTCTTTATTTCATTGGCATTTTTCATTTTTATGGTTGCTTTAGTTGTATTCTCAATTCAGCAAGCTATTATTTTTCTCTCTCAATGAAGAAAGAAAGGAAGACAGGAAGATTAGATAGATAGACAGATAACTATGCAGGGATGGGGAACCTGCAGCCTTGAGGCCACATGTGGCCCTCTAAGTCCTCAAGTGCAGGCCTCTTTGAGGACCTAGAGGGCCACATGTGACCTCGAGGTCACAGGTTCCCCATGCCTGTTTTTCACCATATTAAGGAAAGGTCAACTTATTCCTTAGCTATTTTACAATTTTTTAATGAAGAAAATGGGTGCTGTACATTGTCAAAACTTTAAAAAAAACATATAGTAATATGATTATTATTAGTTACTGTTCCTAATGTTTACCATTTAAAAAAATACATTCTGCATTCCTGCAGAATTGTATGCACATTGTATATATGATTATAGGTATACATTTTATAGTGTATGCTATATACATGCTATGTTATGTGTTTTACATGTTATATACATAGGTACACATATACATACACATAATTGTATGTGTATATGTAACTATATCTATCTTTCTCTATATATAGCTATATGAAAATTTTAGTGAGGCCACAGGAATTTAATTAGGGATGGAAAAGATGAGTTTGTTCCCCAAGGTTGTATTGATACTAAGGATATCATTACGCTGTGGCTGACAAGGGAGAGAGTGCCTGAGCATAATGCTTAGTGGGCTGAAAGGTTTGGTCATATACTACAAAATCAATGAACTTCTGGCATTCTTATGTAACAGTGAGAAGGTGCTGGTGGAAAATGATCGTGTGTTGTTAGCATACAGAACTGGTTCAGAGGTGAGGAGATCCAGCTGTGAGAGAATTCACACTCCATGTTGTTACAAATCACAAAACCCAGGGGCAGCTATGAGAGCATGATGTCATTTCAAAATCATACAAGATGCCAACCTAATCTCTAGGGTCTCTCAGCTAGATATCTCCTAAACTGTAAGATCAAAACAGTGGTTCTTTATTGTTAAGAGATCACTGATTTAATTAAAAAAAAAACCTGAAAGCTCATCTAATTTAATCCCTTCATTCAACAGGCAAGGAAATTTAAACTCCTAGAGAAAAATAAATTACTTGCCCAAATTTACAAGATAGTGAATAGCAGAGAGGATTTTTAAGCCAAGGTTTTCTAATTCCAAACTCAGGACTTTTTTTTTTTTTTACTAATAGAAAGAATATCCAAATTCCTAATCCTAGTGTTCAATGCTATCCATCAGTCCTTTCCACTTTGGTCATCTAACCTCATATCCAATTATTTCCCCAAATAAAAAACTTTCCTATAAAGTCAGTTTTGTCTTTTTCCCTGTGTTCCCTGCACTGTAAGCCTTTGCTTATACTATTTTCACATTCTGGAATACCTTTTAAGAATATCTATACCATGCTGGTATACTATATAAACCCTATCTGCCTTTCATTGATCAGAAAGCTTTCCCATGAAGCTTTCACTTACTTTCCTTGCTGACAGTGACTTATTCCTTCTTTGAAATACTATGCCATTTATTTCCTGCATCATTCATTTTGTCCTGTCACATTTTTCTTTATATTTTTTCTTTATTTATTTTTTATATTTATGAACAATGGCTCTCTGTCCCAAACTCAAGATGTGTACAGACTAAGTTCATGCTTGTGAGTTTCTCCAAACTCCCTGATATTAAAAAAAGGTTAAGAATCCTTGAACTAGAACCTTTAGAGTTTGATCTGACACCAGGGAAAAAGAGGGATGGGTATTTTTCCACATAATTGATCGTGTCCATGTGGATCCCATCTGCATAGTGAACAAAGTAACTGGAGAATTACATGATCCTTTTATCCCTCATGATTTCTTCATTATTCTACTGTGTACTAACTGGACCATAAGGGATTGTATATGTGAAGTATTTTGTAAAACCTTAACGTGCTATACATGTTATAAGTGACTATGACAATGATAATGATAATATCCATACAACCATTGTTTATTGACAAAAATTGATATAATGATGCCCATGTTTGGAATGATGACAGATCTATGGTCACTCCGTAGATTGGGGTCTGGGATGCAATTTTTTTTTTAGTTAGGCAATAGGGTTAAGTGACTTAGGGTGTGACAAGGGTCACACAGCTTGTAAATGTTATGTGTCTCAGGCCGGATTTGAACTCAGGTCCTGCTGAATCCAGGGCCAGTACTCTATCCACTGCACCACCTAGCTGCCCCTGGGATGCAAATCTACAGTGAACAGAAATGTTAGATACACCATCATGCCAAGCCGAGGACTGAAAGTCAAAAGATCAACCAGTTCTTGCACAGACTGTGTTGTCACTCCTAAGTCTCAAATTCTTCATTTGTAATAGGGAGATAATAATAACTTCCATGTCTACCTTACAGGATATTGGAGGTTTCAGTATGGTAATGATAATTTATGTAATATAGCTTGTAAAAGTACATAGTTCTCTATAGGAAAATATGTGAAATATCTGTGATTTCATCAGTATAGGGATCTCCAAGTAAGGGTATTGCTCCATTGAGACAGATGGCAATCTATCTATGACTTAGTATATAGATTCTAGGGAATTGTCTGAGGTACAAAAAGGCTCATAGAATCATAGATTTGTTTCTGACTGGAGCTGACAGGTCATCTAGTCGAGCCCCTTCATTTGACATATAAGGAACTTGATTGAGGTCACACAAGTGTTAAAAAGCAGAGTTGGGACTAAAATTCACATCTAATGCTCCAATATAGCACACTGTTTCCTAAGTGGGTAAAACGACTTCTTGAATCACTAATACATATCATACTTGGGATTTGAATCAAGACCTTCTGGATTCCAAGCCCTACTAGCTCTAAATTGCCCTCCCTTCTCTCTTTGTCTCCAGGATATAACATGTAACTGACTTAGAACTCTGAATAACATAAAGAAAGGAAATCATCAAACAATTATATGACAAAAAGAGAAAAGGGGTGGGTCATAGGGCAATAGTGAAGAATGATGGGCAGTTGGCCAGAGTACTTCACAGGTACCTTTGCAATGTTGGGAAAAAGCAAGAAAAGCCTCCAGCATATTATGCAAAGGCCCTGAAATGAAATTCTGGAAGAACAAGGATAAGAGTTGCCCAAAATTGGCAGGCATGGATAGATTATAATCTGCACTGGAGATCCATCTAAAGGGGAGAGGAGGAGAGTGGAGGAGAGGTCAATTTAAAGGCAGCATAGGAGACTTGGTATCCTAATCTCAACTATGATATTTACTTTTTGAGTAGTTTCATTCATGTCCAACTCTTTGTGACCCCATTTGGGAATTTCTTGGCAAAGGTATTACAGTATTCTTCATTTCTTTCTCCAGCTCATTTTACAGATGAGGAACTGAGGCAAACAGGGTTAAGGACTTGCCCACACGTCACACAGCTAGTAAGTGTCTGATGCTAGATCCAAACTCAGGTCCTCCTAATTCCAGGCCTGGCACTCCATCCACTGTGCCACCTAGTTGCCCCTATAATATTTACTAGTGGCTCTCAATAAGTCACTTAACCCTCTTAGGAGGAAGTGAGGCATAATGGATTGTTACTATGTACATATGCTTGTGTGTGATTATTATCAACATTGGTCTTATTGTGAACATCTCAGCAATTTATAAATGATAGATTCCTGCAAATTTTTAGAAGATGCTCTAATTACAGAAGGCCCTGGAATATTTCCCGGTCTTGAAAACCCTAGCTATATGTAGCACGTCAACATTAGAAAGGTTCGATCCCTTTGTTGGTCTGTATTGCTATTGATTTATTAAATGATTATTTTGATTTTCAAAAAACAACCGTAATAGCATGCAAACTAATACTGACCCAATTTGACTTAAAACAAACAAACAAACAAACAACAACAACAACAACAACAACAAAAACAAACTGTTCAAAATCACACCTATTTATTAAGTCCTGAAATGTCATGGCACTGTGGGTGTCACAAGTCCTCATGCATAAAGTTACAGAGGGAGCACTGCTGCACAGGATTCATGGGCCACTGGGTACCACGTTCTGTTTAAAAATAACCTATTTAATTTCCAGTTTTCTCTGAGAGTGTCATTTTGGAAAGTGCTAAATCATGGCAAGGTAATACAGTGTTGTTGATTTAATCTTTGTGCCTTGTAAAACAGTAATGGTTTTCTTTTTAATCTCTGTGAAATTTGAATAATTTTATTTGAAAATTAAATTTTATAGAAAACACAACATTTTCTTTCTTCTTTTCCTCCATAAACAGCTTGAAAAACATTTGACAGGACTTGCTTACATTTTCCAGAAAATAATTACTTTTTGTCTGACAACAATGGAAAGTTTCTGTACGTTGTGTTCAATGGAAAACTCCCAACAACAGAAAAGAGAGAGCTGTGATGATGGTCTGGAGCCAAAGATTCTTTACTAAGAGCTGCTGTAATTATAAAGAGGATGGTCCAGAGCATCTCTGTGGAGAGTCTGTCTACTTTCACTTAACCTGGGTATCCAGTGAGAATTTAAATGGAAGAGGGGAAAGAACGCTGGATTTAGTCAGGAGATGCTGGTTCCAAAAGAAGATCTTTTTCCACACATTACCTTTCCCATACCTATCCAGTAACAGGCACAGTTATATACTCTTTCTACTTTCTTTTTTTGCTTAAGCATTTCTTAAGTCTTTTTCCTCCTCAGACCATTTAGCTAGAGAGAGATAAAATTAAATTTAAATTAGGACAAAGGGCCAAATCTTTCTGCTTGAAAGTTAGGAATTTCCTAACTGGCGGCTTGGAACTACTTTGGTTGTACTACTAACTTTTCATCTGATATATATTCCATAAAACAGTAGAAGAAGGAACCATAGAGTCTTGAGAAGTCATTTTTTTTGCCCTTAGGCTAAAAAGTGAACTAATTGCTATATAAGAGGATGTGACTAATTAAATCTCCAAAGAAAAAAAAAAAAGGAGTAGGAAGGAGAAAATGGTGACTCAGGTAGAAGAGCACTTCTTAGCCTCACCTACCTCCCTGATAGGAGATAGAAAAGGCATGGAAAGGCCCATCCATCAGGGAGAAGGAAGAAGAAAGGATGGGAGCTGACTGTATTCTCCACAGAAACATTTAGATCCACATTTAAGAGTCTTTATGGAGATCAAAATAATACGTGTAAAACACTATGCAAAACTTGAAGTCTTATGTAAAATAAACATCATTTTTACCCCTTTTTTGGTGTCATTTTTTGGTGGCATTTAGCTATTAATAATCCAAGAATAAATATACAGGTATTATTCATTTACCTTTACTGTCCTGCTGAGTATTTTTTCACATAACACTTTTATTATAAATTTAACAGATTAATATTTTTACTATTCTATCTGTCCACCCCACCTTCTCCCATTTCCCATAATACCATATTCAATCCATTTATTTTTCTTCTCTAGCACATTCTAATAGACTTCAAAACTCCTTTTGTCCCAGGCAGTCTTTATTCTTTCTCTTTCCCCTTTATTTGAAGATCTTATAAATATAGAGTTTTGGAAATGATCATTGTATCTAATTGTGAAGGGCTTAAAATGTCTTGCCGAATATTGAACAGGTAAATAAAAAGACTGCTTTTTGCAGCTGAATAAGAGTATACTGTTGTAAACTCAACCTCTGTAGCTTCACTGGAAGTTTATTTGGAATAACCAAAGTAGCAGTAGAATCTTAGAGATGATATGTGATAAATCTCTCATTCTATTCCTACATGATTTTCATTTCTTTGTGAGATGTCTATGTTTTGAAAGCTTTTCATTGCAGGTACTTTGGAGTGAGTGTTCAGTATGATTACGTCTATAAAAAATATTCTTAAGTGGCTGTGACTTGATGTTTGTCTTGCTGGTTTTGGGCAACAAGTCTTTCTGAAATGATACTGCAGTCTAATGCAGTTTGTCTGAATTCTCAGAAATATTTTGAAGTTTGCATTTGTAGTAAGGGTATTTGTCATTTGGTAGTTTGTATAGGGATAACTAGGTGGTGCAATGGATAGAGTACTGAACCTGGAGTCAGGAAGACCTGAATTCAAATCTGGCCTTAGACACTTACTAGTTATGTGACCCTGGGCAAGTCGCTTAACCCTGGGTGCCTTAGTTTCCTCATCTGTAAAATGAGCTGGAGAAAGAAATGAAAAACCACTCCAGTATCTTTGCCAAGAAAACCTCAAATGGGGTCACAAAGAGTTGGGCATGACTGAAAAATGACTGAACAATAGGATATCAGGCTTCTGCTATGTAATTTTAGTCACCTGATTGTGTTTTTTGGGGTATAAATGGCAGGTAAAATTTCATAACCTCTAGTGATATGTGCACAATTTGTACCATTTCATGGAATAATTTGCATCCATTTGTAAACTTGGACTTCTTAAACCTTTCTATAAATGATAGCAATTGCTATGACCTGGTCCTGAATTGCCATCAAAACCCTTCCTTTCTATAAACAGAAGCCCATGAATTAACCATCTGCTCAAGGCTTCTTCCTCAACGTGTTGCCGATTGGACTCATGTGGATGTGTCTCATTTAATTTCTTTTGATTCTGTATGTTTATCTTATATACTACATAGGTTCCATCTATATAAATTTGTCAAGTTATCATCATCATCATCATCATCACTATTAATATTGCTATTACTAGTATTGTTAATTAGGTTTAACATTATTGAGATTCTACCCAAGCAATTGTTGGGACACACAAAAGTCCAGTGAGTGAAGGAGCTCAAGCCCCAAATTCGTAGTGTTCTTTTATCTGCTAAAAAAGTAGATAAAGACTTACTAGAAATTGTTGAAACTCTATAGTGGAGATAATGTAGCACAGCAAATGGAAAACCAACAAGACCTGGGTTTAAGCCCCAGCTCTGATACGTTACTAGCTGTGTGGTCCTAGGAAAGATATTTAGCCCATTAATTACCGCAGGCAACTCTAAAACTATAAACTGCTGAGCAGGTACAAAGCTGAGTTAATAGATTAGAGTTTCTTCACTCGGAGTTTGCTACATCAAGGAAATCACAGATTCATTTTAAAAAAGAAAAGAATTCACAGGGCCCTGCATTTACATATAACTCCATATCATCTCAACTGAAGATTTGCAACAGGAAGTCTTCACCTAATCAATGACTTAGGTCATTCACAGTTCTTGTGAGATAATGAATATGGAATCATTTTGTAAATCTTACAATTAAGCAGGCTTTTCTTCTTTGTCTGTTTTCTCTGTCTCTGTCTCAGTATGATGACTTTGTGCAACTATGCCTCACTTAAATCCAATTCACATGAAAGTCATGCTGTGATGTCATTGGTCTTCTTTGAAAACGAAATACAAACAACAACAACAATGTGTCTATCTGGATGGGTCTTTCCTTTTTCTCTAAAGAAATCATAGGTTGATACTCTGAAGAGCAATTTGGAACTATGCTTAAAGAGCAATAAAACTGTACATACCATTTGACCCAGCAATACCACTTCTAGGGCTGTATCCCAAAGCGATCATACAAATGGAAAAAGGACACACATGTACGGAAATATTTACAGCAGCTCTTTTTGTGATGGCAAAGAAATGGAAATTGAGGGGATGCCCATCTGTTGGGGAATAGCTGAACTAGTTGTGGTATAAGAACGTAATGGAATGTTATTGTGCTGTAAGAAGTGATGAACAGGTGGACTTCAGAAAAACCTGAAAAGACTTGTATGGACTGATGCTGAGTGAAGTGAGCAGAACCAGGAGAACGTTGTACACAGTAACAGCCATGTTGTGCGATGACTAACTTTGATAGACTTATCTCTTCTTAGCAATGCAAGGATCTAAGACAACTTCAAAAGACTTGCGATGGAAAATGCTGTCCACGTCCAGAAAAAGGACTATGAAGTCTGAATGCAGATTGAAGCATATTATTTGTGCGCTCTCTCTCTCTCTCTCTCTCTCTCTCTCTCTCTCTCTCTCTCTCTCTCTCTTTCTCTCTCCCTCTTTTTGCTTTTTCTTCCTCATGGTTTCTGTCATTGGGTCTAATTCTTCTTTACAACATGACTAATGTGAATATATGTTTAATATTAATGTATATGTTGAGCCTATATCAATTTACATAGCATCTTGGAGTGGGTAGAGGGGAGAGATGGGAAGAAAAAGTGGAACTCAAAATCTTATGGATGTGAATGCTGAAAATTAAAAATAAATAAATAAATAAATTTATTTTTAAAAATTAAAAATAAATAAATAAATAAATTTATTTTTAAAAATTAAAAAAAAATCACTGGTTGAGTGTGGTGACACACATCTATAATCCTGCTACCAGGGTGGGGAGACAGGCTGTGGATGATGAATTGCTTGACCTCAGGAGTTCTGAGCTGTAGTGGACTAAGGGCATTCATAATAAGTTTGGCACCAAAACCAAATATTAAGTGGGGGGAGAAGTAGGGGATAGTAAACTGACCCAGGCAGGAAACAGCAGACTGAAGCCACTGAGCAGATTTGTAACAGCATTGAGTCTGTGAGTGGTCACTGTACTTTCAGCTTTGGCAAGATAGGGAAACCCAGCCTGAACCCCCTCCCCACTCCAAACAAAATCTCTTTCAGTGTCATGGCTTCAGCTCTTATGTCTATAAGGATGAATCTAAAAAGGAAACCCTAGATTTGGAGCTATAAAATCTAAATGACTGTGGACAAATCACTAGGCCTCAGTTTCCTAATGTGAAAAATGTGAGGTTTGGACAAAATCTCTAAGATGCCTTCTAACTTTGAGATGATATCCTATATCTCTAGCCCTACCATATCTCCTGAGTGCTAGATGCATTGAACCCATCTCTTCTTCTCAAATTGTACCAAGGACAGGTCTACCTGATGTCCTGTAAGGAACCAAAAAGTAACCTGTATAAAACTGAGTTCTTAAAGGGATCTGCCCAAGCAATTCCTGGAACACAAAGAAGCCCAGAGCCTGATGGAGCCCAAATCCCAAATTCACAGAGGACTTTTATCTACTAGGAAAATATTTTGTGATCACAAGGACTTATTTCCTCCAAAACTCTTTTGCTGTTCTGAACTTCGTTGTTTTTACTGACACCATCAGTATTCTCTCTCTTACCTGGACACACGTTGCAGTCATCTTGTCTCACCACCCTAATCTAATTAGTTGCAAAGTTTCATTATTTCTATGTCAACAACATTTTTAAAATCTGTCTCCTGCTCTTCTCTCCAAATTCTACCATCATAATTCATATCTTTATTATCTTTCATCTATACTATTTCAGTAGCTTCCTAACTGGCCCCTAATGGCTCCTCCTTCAACCCTATCATTTACAATGCCACTTTTTAAATCACTAGGATTTTTTATATTAAAACACTGTTAAAAATATTCAGTGGCTTCTCATTTTCTATTACATCAATCATTAGCCTAGTTTTCAAGTTCCTCTATGATGGCTACCACATGCTTTCCCATTCTAATTCACCACCTTTCAGTTTTATCCATCCCATGTAGGTCCCAGGAATACTAGATTATTACTCACTTTTCTTAACACTTGGCCTTGTGCTTTGATTTCTCTGTTTCTTTACTCATTCTCTTCCACTGGTACAGATTGCTGTTTCATTTATGGCTATTTTTGCAACTTCTACTTTCAAGGCCCAATTCAAATATCACCTTCTCTATGATGCCTTCCCTTATAACCCCAATAGAAGTAATCATTCTTTTCTCCTAATCTTATAAGCACTCTTTATTTCTCTTATGAGCCATTTACATTCTAAATTGTATGATAGGTTTTATACCCATGTCTATTCTTCCCTACTGGAGCTTAATCTTCTTGAGGGCTAGGACTGTGTTTTGTTCATCTTTTTAATTCCCAAGGGACCTAGGAAAGGGCCTTAAACATGTTCAGATAATAGGACCATAAACTGAGACTTGGAAGGGACCATAGAGATCATTTAGTCCAGTATCTTAATTTTATGAATGGGGAACTGATACCCAGAGACGTTAAATAATTTGGCCAATGTCGTAGAACTAACAAGTGGCAGGGCCAAAATTTGAACCAAGCTCTTCTCGTCCTGACTCAAAACTCAGCATCCTTACTACGGAACCACACTTCACTGTTACTCCATGAATGTTGAAATATTTTCTCCTTTAGCTTCACCAGGAGTAAGTAAAAGACAGTGTAGAACACATGGGGATTATATTAGAAGCAATAACTCTCCACCTTCCTCACCTTCTTCA